TTTGTAAATCTTACAACTAATTATTGATATATATTTTAGATTTGTTTTATTATTTTGGATAAAATATCAATAACACTTAATACAGTACTAGTTTTTAAGTAAGTTTAAATGTACATTATAATTAAACACAACACAATTCACTACTTATTTTATAACAATTTTATCCAAACTTAGAAAATAGTTAAACTTGTCATAATACATATTAATATTCTCATAAAAACACATTTTAATTTAATAATGCAAAAAAATACAGTTAAAAACAAAAAGTCTTTTTTGTTTATTCTGTAAATGCATAAAAAACAATTAACTGTAAGTACGATTTATTATTTACACATTTTTTTATTTTTAAAAGTACAATTAATAACTTACACAAAATCACAATTTAAATATTAATTTGAATTTTAGTAATTGTTAAATTTTCGTTGTCATGATCGACTTTTTTATAATTAATTATTAATTAATTTTATTTTTTGAAACGTTTATTGATCATTACAAACACTAAAATATATTGTGTTTCAATACTAATTTCTGTTAATAAATAATAGATTTTTTTAAAAATGCACTTTTTATTTAAGTTCTTTATATGTTCAAATATTTATATACCCAAGAATTCAATTATGCATTTCCAATTTGATTTGTTATTGGATTACATGTCTCGGAGCAGTCTTCTCCTTCAACCATCTCTTCGCCTGTCCAAATATTTATATATATTATTTAAAAATAAATACATTATAGACTTTAGTACACAACTCGAGTTTCCAAAGCAAACAAGTATCACTCTATAAAACAATTAAAATACCAAAAAAATATTTCTAAAAACAAAACCACACGTATATTATTTTTTTATTCTTTTGTATAATAATATGTATTTAGATATAAAAAATAAAAAACGTTATAAACAAGAATCGTCTATTATTTATCCAATTTAAATTATTTCAAATGTTAAAATGAATATAATAAATTTTTTTAAAGCATAACTTAAACAAAATCTTAATAATAAGTACTTGTTGTGTTTATTAAAATTAAAAAAAATAACATTAAAACTCAAATATAAATAACAACATAATTATTTTGTTGTTATGTTAAATCCAAAATCACACAAAGTTGTCTGTATCATCACATCCAACTCTGGACAATTTATTATATTCACTTTCATGCCAATTCTATGATTAGTAATTCTTTTTAAAAGTGGGCAATTTTGCACATGAATTTTCTTTGTGTTTTTGTTTACTGTAATTTCTATGAGGTACTTACAATTTCCAATTACAACATTTTCTACTTTCTCTCCACACACCACAAAAACGACTTTCTCTTTAAAAATGGCAACTTTCTTCGTGTCGACAAATTTAGTCAGATTATGTACCTTATTTGCTGTTCCAGTTATCTTACAACCTATAGCCCCCCCTTCGATATCATTAAAGTAAACATCTTGTAAAACAACCTTTTTGACGGTGTTTCCTAATTTTAGCTTTTCATATGTCTTCGACATACATTTTGGTGACAAGATTCGAATATCTCGAAATTTTGCTTTTGACATGTCGATAATTCTTTGGTTGTCTCTATTATAAAAATTAAGAACAATAACACCATATTCGATCAGTGGAATTGATTTAAACACAAATTTTGCATCAACACATTGTTGTGATAATTTCATTTTTAATTTCATTTGTCGAACATTTCCACAAAAATTTATATGTTTTTTTCCATAGTATTGATTTTCTGAATCAATTCTGAGATGAAACGCCCCGTCTTGGATATTTTCTATGTGAGAGGTCCGTCTATATATTCCTTTGCCAATATCATGAAATGTGATACACGTGTCAAAGGTATCATGCATCCGTATTTTTAAACATTTCAACGCGCCAACTGTCATTTCGAAAGGAAAATCGTCATAATGATCAAATTTGGTTGAAAGAAACGGGAAATTCCCGATGCTGTTTGTTTCCTTAAAATAAAACATTTTCAACTTTTTATTGAAAAATTCACATTTTTCGAATTGTTTCAAGAAGTCTTTCTTGTTACAAATTTCAGTGTTGAGAAAGTTTGAGAAGTCGCATTTCTCAATTATCGTTTTTCGTTGAAGCAGACACAAAATTTTTGAGTTTGAGCACAACGAAAAAACACTCTTTTTGTGTTTAAATGTCTTTGGGAAGAAAAAGTGTTCAATTTCAGTTTCTTTGTATTCATTTTGCTCACAAAAAGTGACTCCATCACATCCATTGAACTCGACATTTTGCACAACTGAGTGTGAAACACCAACATCTTTGCAATCAAAAAAACGCATCTCATGATTTTCAATTCCATGTATTATGATGTTGTTGCTCTCAATGGCAAACACTTTAGATATTTTCATCTTATGTAGCACATCCAATTTATTGTTTTGAATTTCTAAATGATTTGAATGTTTGATGTGCAGTTCTATACACAAAGTCTTGACATGTAAATTAATAACATAACAATCGATCATATTGATTACATTTGTTGTGTCTGTTGTAACATTTACATTTGCACATTGTCTTAGTTCTATTTTGTTGCAAACTTTACTGATAATTTCGATGTTATAGAGACCCTGAATATACACATTTAAAACGTTGTTTGTTGATAAAAATATCTTTTTCAGTTGTTCACACTTCTCATACACATAAAGTGGTGCCTGTAGTGTTAATAACATCCTATAATTATATTCTCTTTCAATGATTTTGTTTTTCTTTATATAGTCGAGATATGTTGAAACTTCATTGTTTGCTTCACGTGTTTTCTTCTCATTTTTGATGTTATTTTCATAATCAAATATGACATTATTAACATTGTAGTTTTTGGTTTGGTGGTACGTCTTTACTCGGTCATATTGTGATATCGTTTTCTCTACGACAAACACCTCTCCTGAATATCGCGAGTTCCCCACAAATAAAGTGCCGTCAATGATATCAGATGTTTTGAATGGAGTGAAGTGCAACACAGTAATTCCAGCCTTTTCAAGTTTCTCCCTCAATTTATTTATTATTGTTTTGTGTTTGATTGATAGTATGTTACATTCAAGAACAGCACAAATTTTGATTGGCGGAAGGTGATGAGATTTTCTGACTTCTGGGATTGTCGTAATTTTCTCTATGAATTCAGGCATTGCACAACGCCAAAAGACGATTGATGTTATTGTTTTATTTAAAATTGTTTTGGCAACGTTTTCAAATTTAAAGTCCCACTCAATGACGTTAAGACGTTTTAAATTAGTCATTTTGTGGAGGTACTTGTTGTATGGCTTTGTGTTGTCCAAAAACACATCTGTGATCTTTGGAAATGCCAAACTGTTGATTTGACTGTGTTGTTTGAAGAACAATGGAAATCGACTGGTTTGGACAAGACGAACAAATTTAACGTGTTGTAAAATATTAGAAGAGTATGTGTTTTCTATCATATAATCGGGGCATTGCAGGGTTTTAATATTTGTCATCGTCTTTTCAAAAAACGAAAAAATTTGTTTGTAAATGATGCATATTTTTGAAGGACTCAATTCAATGAGAAATTTAGAAATGTCGATATACGGATTGATGTGAAGACATTCCAAACTACTTTTACACTTTTTATTAACGAACATATAGTTTTGGAGAGCGGAAATAGTGTTGATGTACAGAGTTACATTCATTAAAAACACTTGCTCCAAACGTACCATTTAAATGATTTTTATTTAGTTTTATTTTTTATATAATAAATTTTAATTATCAACTATTTAATAACTATTCATATATCATTTTATTTAACCAAAAAATAATAAATAATATTTTAATTAATTAATAATAACTAAAATATTATATAAGAATAATTCTGACAAGTCAAAATAGATTCTAATAATATAGAAGTTGGGATTGAACAAAGATAAAAAAGTTTAAAAACTCATATGTATTTTCAATGGATACTTTAAAAGTCATATTATTCTTTTTGTACTTCTTTCTTTTAAATAAGCTGTTATTTTTCCTCTTCACCTTAAAAAAAAGAAGTACAAAAAGAATAATGTTTGGCTCTTTAATTTATTGTTTTTTTTAAATAAAAACTTCAACAATAAATATTATCTTTGATATATTTTTATTGATTTATTATTTGAATAAAAAAATTTTGAATTATTTAAATTTTGTAGTATTTTTTATTCTGATAATAAAGAATTCAGCTGTGTTTTGATATAGTGAATGTCGCATCTATCTTTTTGTGTTTGTGCCCAACATTTTTGTATCAAGTTATACAATTCAAGTGGAATATTTTCTTTGTTTTCTAAACGTTTTCCTGTTGTCACAAACTCGGCGATTTTCCAAGGAAATTTAAATGTTTCTATTGGGTACGCTTCTTTCCATCCAAACACTTCGTACATTGTGATTGCAAACGAATAGACGTCGGCACTTTTTGTGTATTTTTTCTTGTTTAACACCTCAGGCGACATGTAAATTGGAGTTCCAACATTTTCGTAAATGTCATGTTAGTCATCAGCATGTTGACATTTCTACTCGATCCAAAATCGGTTAATTTTGCATTGATTTTGTCATTCATATCAAGTAAAAATACAAGAATATTGTCTGGCTTAATGTCTCTGTGTAATATCCCATTCTCGTGTAGATATTCGATTCCTTTTGATGCGTCTATCATCATTTTAACTCTGATATTCATATCAACTTCATCACTCTTTTTGTCTTTCATCAAGTTTTGTAAACTTCCAAATTGTGCAAAATCGGTGACCATACATACTTTATTTGGAATAAACACTGCGCCATAGAAATGGACGATATATTCACTTCGAAATTTGTCCAACATTTCAATTTCCTTTGAAAACTCATCAAAGAGTTTTTCTTCATTGTTTGTTGTTGTAATTTTCATCTTTTTTATTGCCACAATATTCCCTCTAAACGTCCCTTTAAAAACAATTCCAAAAGAGCCTTCACCAAGTTTCTTGTCTTCAACCAATTTGTGATAATCAAGTCTTGTTGTCATTGTTGTTTTGGCTATTATTTTTATAAAATTGACTTCTTCTTTTCCTTCATAAATATCAAGTGATATACATGCTATTTTGTCATCAATCTGACATGTACATATTGGTTTCAAAAACACTTCAAATTCACACGCTTCGTTTTTCTTGAGTGTGACAAGTGAGGGGACTGTTCTTATGCAGTATAAGTCTGTATTATTCATTACGTTGATTTGAATCTTCAATTTATTTTTTGATGTATTCCCAACACATAAAAGTGTACGCGTCTCTTTGTCAACGTCTATTTCATTGTTTTCGTTTGATTCTTCTCCAAATTTTAAGACACTTTTATTGACACAAAGAGATTCACTAAAACCAGTAAATGGTATATTCGACTTATTCATATTAAACACACAAATTTTATTTTTTAACTCTTTAACATTTTTTCTGTGGTAAATATGATTAGTTAAATATATAATGAGTATCACCATAACAATTAGAAAAATAGCAATGACAATAACAGGTACTCCGATTTTTAAAAAGTATTTCTTGTCTTTCAAACAAGTAAGTCCATCATCCGAAATTTTGTGTTTGTTGTCACATTTTACACAGAAGTTGTTTGTTGCTGATACACAAAAATTGACTGTATTAAGTGGACGACACACACTGTTTTTGAGAATGAAATTGTCGTGACAAGTATAACAAGATACTTCCGAATAACATTTTAAACAATTGATTGAACACTTGTAACACCGTGGAATTGCAGTTCCCAAATAAAACCCGTCTTCACATCCAACACACCCACTCTGAGTCTTGATTGTACAGTTGTATAAAGTGCTATATTTCTGGCATATATAAGACTCACTAACAATTTGGTAGTAATCAGTTTTGCATGATAAACACTTTGTGGTATCAATACAAGTCTCACACGATCCGTCACAATCAAGGCAATCGTTGTTATATTTGAAATAATTATTTTTACATATTTCACAACCCGTGTTTGTCGGCATCATCTGTTGGCATCGCTTCGACAATTCAGTTGTTTGCTCGCACTTGTTATTTGCATTCAGAAATGATGTTGTTAAATTACAAATGAGACAATATGTCGAACTTTTACATGTTAAGCACTCAGACTCAGAGTTTTGACATGGAAGACACAAATTAGTTACAGTCAAGTAATACCCATCTGAACACCTTAAACATCCTTTCAATGTTGTCGTTTTACATACATTTTGTATTTCTTCTTTTGACATCGTTGTATCTTTAATTTGAGATGAACATGTGTTATCATACAGAATAAAATTATTTGAACATTCTCTGATTGTAATTTGATTGTCTTGTGACTTTGTAATGTATTTCGAATTATTAGTAGCTGAAGTACAATATACAGTTTTTTCTCTGTAAAAGGAAGGGAGACATTTAATACACGACACTCCATTTGCTTTCTCACAATTATAAAAATTTGTTTCTTTGCAACTTCCATCAGAATACAGATACCCTTCTATACATTTAACACAATTTGTATATTTATATATTGTACAATTAGGTATTTCACTCAATACACACTGGTTGTGTTGTATTACATAATGAGATGTGTTTGAGCATTTTATACAATCATCAAAGGAGTAATTTACACAATTATCTATAACCAAACAGTTGTTTTCGTTGTAATCAATTACCATATTTTCTTTACATTGAATTACTTTGTTTAAATTCGCCATTTTCAGTGAGCAAAATGCATTCCTCAAAAAGACCATTTGAACTCTCTGAACACAAATTGCACTTCATATTCTGATCAAGAAATTGATTTGCTTCGCAACGATAATACACATTATTTCTTGTTATTGAATTGTGATTTATAATATCATTCGCGACACAATTACCATTGCTTGTATATAAATAGTTGTCAACACAGTTCAAACACTTTGTGACACCTTTTAATTTATTGATGTAATAATATTTACAGTTGTTTATTTCATTATTACAATTGAGTTGTACAGAAATACCACTTTCACAGTCTTCACAAGTGATTTTTCCTTTTGAAATACATTCTGAATCAAATAATGTTAATACACATAAAAAGTCTTTGAGGTAATAATTCTCATCACATTTGACACAAGTTGTCATGTTTACTCTTGCAAGACAGTTTTGATTTTCAGCTACACATCGATTGTTATTATAATGAGAACCATTCGAACATTTAGAACACGATGAAGCGTCGGTATTTAAAACAAAAGGTGGGTAACACAAGTCACACACTTCTTCGAATTGTGTTTCATCACTCGAGTGACATGTTTTGCAATTTCCATGTTGTGTATTATCGTAACATAGTGTACACGTGTTTGATGAACTCAAGTAATAACCAGCATTGCATATACAAACGCCATCTCTTATTTCAAAATGTGGTGAACATGTTGTGCATTTTTTGTTTGTTGGACTACAACTCAAACAATTTGAAATATCAGAACATGGGTGGCACGTCTTTTTAAATGCAAAGTAGTTTTCTTTGCATGATGTACATCCATTGACCGTGTCACACTTGTTTCTATCACAATTACTATCACATCTTTTACATTGTTTGTTATCCAAATAAAAACCAATTTTACATGAAAGGCAATTGGTGTTCAACCCACCATCACACGTTTGACATGATTCATCACATATCATACAATCGTAACCACTCGTATAATAATTGACGTTTGTACATTTGGTGCACCCGTGTTGATGGCAATTTCCATCTCCACAATTGTTGCATTTTAAACATTTGTTGTCTTTTAAGTAAAAAGTCCCATCTTCACACGAAGTGCAATTTGAAGAACTACCTTCACACGTTCGACAATTAACAGAACAGTTATTACAATATCCATTATCATAGTAATACCCTACCGATACACAATCTAAACAATATCCATTTAATATGGAATTGTTGCATGTTGAACACCCATCATAACATTGGTGGCATGAAATCCCATACAATGAATATCCATTTATACATGAATAACAATTCAAATTTGATGAACGTGTTTGACACCCTTCTGTACATGCAAAACACGAATAACTACTTCGATAATACCCATCAAAACAAGACATACATCGCGGAGTCGAATACCCAGAATCAAAACACGTTTCGCACCCAGTGGGACATTGTATACATTTACTTCCACTTAAATAATATCCACTTATACAGGTACCACAATTCTCTCCATTTTCTCTGCAAGTAGCGCACCCTACACTGCATTGAACACACGAAAACCTATTCAAAAAGTATCCAGTCACACACGAAAAACAACTTATGTTGTTTGTGTTATTACAGGTACTACATCCAGTGTAACACCGAACACATTTGCCTTCACTCCAAAAATAGCCACTTTCACATATTTGACAGTATCCATCTTTAGAACTGGTACAATCCAAACACCCAACTGAACACTTTAAACAACTGTTATATGTCAAGTAATATCCCTTTGCACAAGTACTACATAATCCATTTGATGGACCTGTACATGTCAGGCATCCAGTGTAACACTCATAACAATAACCACCACTTTTATAATACCCTTCCACACACGATGTACAATCCCTTTTTTTGCTAGATGTGCAATTTCTACATCCAGTGTAACATTTATAACATGTGTAACCCTCTAAATAATAACCAGGAATACAGGAATAACAAAATTCATTTGTTTTTCCATAACATGCGACACACCCAGAAAAACATTTTATATCAATTGTTTTGTGATAAATAATATCCATTTAGACACGATTGGCAATACCAATATTGGTTGAGTGAACAAACAGCACATCCTACAACACAAGCCACACATGTAATATTATCACGATAATAACCAGGTGTCACACATGATGTACATTCTGTGTATCCACTCCCCGTACAATTTGCACAACCAGAATAACACTGTGAGCACGAATACTCGTCACTTTTATAAAATCCATCTATACATTGATTACAGTGATAAATACCGTTCACTGATGTACAAGAAGCACAATTTGGGTAATTTCCACAGTAATTTCCATTTAAAATGATTTTTGTTTGGTTTTTGATAAACAAATCATGTTTTTTATATTTTTCTAATGTTTTTGTAGTTGTTGTAGTATTTTGGGTAAGTTGTTTGTTAGCGAAATAAATAACATCAAACCGTTTCAAAACATTACAACCAATTGTTGTATTTTCGTTTTGAATGAGTTGATGGAGTTTTAAAATCTCATCAACAACACTCCATTGATATCCAAATGGGCACTCCACAGTTGGTAAAACACAAATCACTTTATTTTGTAATTTGCACATTTTTATTTCAAAAGAGAATACAACAGATAGCAATAATGTAAATAGCATAGTTTTCGTTAGGTTTGAATTATAAAGATTTTCAATAAATAATTCTTCAATTGTCAATAACATTTGGTATTTTTTCAATAATTTTTTTTTATTATAAATAACTTGTAATTGGAATTTTTTTATTCATATGAAAAACTAAAATCTAAAACAGCAAAAATATCGAACCTTAATAATAGTTTAATTTAAACTAAAAAGTATTAATCAAAGTATTGATCTTTTCGACCAACTCCTCTTTCCCACACTTTTTAATGTAATTGACAACATCCTCTTTAACATCTCTGATTGCTTTAGAAGATGCCAAAAATCCCGAGTCGAGTACGGCTTGCATTTGGATTTGTTCCGTAGTCTTCAAGTTGTTTTTATGTATTTCGATATCCAATTTCGACACGGCAAGCATTTTGCAGTTGATTTCAAACAACTCGAAGACGTGTTGTGCGTTATATTTTTCGATATCAGGCGCTTTTAAGAATCGATCACACACCGTTTTAAATCCACCATTCACATTAGCACCAATACTCCCTTGTACTGCACTCTCCAAATTTCTCACATTATCAGCACTCATCGACTTCTGACATGATTGCACAGCTTTCTTCATAGTTTCAAGTCGCTTGACATAATCATCGACCGAACTCTCAATCGGCGTTTTAATGATTTGATTAGTCGACACGACTTCCTCTCTAACTAACATTGATGGCAATTTTCTATTTGTTTTGAAGAACGTTGTCATCTTACACATCCCATCCTTTCCCGGTATATTTGGGTCTTGGTATGGCACTTCATTCTTAAATATCGGCGAAGACAAGAACTTCACACCAAGTCGGGAAACCTCTTCAAAGTCGTTGTGAATAGTTAAAGTGCCAACTACAATGAAAGGAGGTACTTTCTCATCATCTCCGCCTTCTTCTTTCTCTTCTTTTGTTTCATTTTCTAATTTCTGTAACTTCGCTATCAAATCTTTTGCTTGTGCTACTGTTTTGGCAAGTGGTTTCATCTCTACGCCATCAATCACTTTTGTATACTTCTTCGTTATTAAAGTGTTAAAATCGTTGTTCCTCTCCTTTGATGTGTAGATGTACATCTTCTTGTGTTCGTCTCCAAAGAACTCCTTCCCGAAAAATTGGACTTGGTAAAACATGATGACGGGGTAATCCCCGATTTGCGAGTAAAGTTTATCAACAGTCTCATGCGCTTCTGACAACTCCGCATAGTTCCGATTTTGTATGAAAAGTGGTATCACAAAATTTAAGACGCAAACGGCGTCATGACGCATCTTGCCCTGTTCGAATAGTAATGCCGCAATCTTCGCATTCTCTACCAAAAATTGTGTTGTCATTTGTTCATCACCAGAAGCTACAAACTCGGCTTTTCCACAACTTATAATATCTTCTGATACCTTTGTAAGTTCTTCAAGTTTTAACATACACTCGGGACCTTCCACAACACCATAAATATAATGTATGATATACACTATAGCAACAGCTGCAGGTGTGTATTCTTCTAATTGAAAATGTCTGAAAGCAATTGACTGTAAACATGATATGAATATCTCGGGACACTCTTTATACTTCTTTGCCATGTCAAACTCCTTTTCGTATATATTCTCAACTACACACTTCGTTTCTCGCATCTTTTGAAGCAACACTACATCACCTAAAAACTCCTCACAGCGATTTTTAAGGTCATTGACACTCCTGACAAACATCTCCATCTTTGCACCAAAGTCTTCACTACTCTCGCCAATACTCCTCTTCCGTTTTTCTAACGCATTTTCGCTCTGCACAAGAATTTTGAATTTTTCATTCTTTGCAGCGTACGCTTTAATCTTTTCGATGTCATCCTTTTTCACATATTTCTCAAGGAAAAGTATTTTTGTGTTTTCTAATTTGCGAATTTCCTTTGCAATTTCAAGAATCTGTGATCCCGGTTCATCCGTTTGAAACTCTAATAATTGAACAGCTAATGTAAAATACGTCGCATACTTCTTGCGGGTATCCTCATTATATTTCTCTCTTCTTTCATCAACACGAAGTGACCTGAAATGACTCTCAAGCTCGCTTTTAATCATATTCGGTGCAGCCAAATCATCAAAGAGCTTTTCAAACATTTTAAACGACTTTTTTGAAGTGTCTGGACTGCTCTCTGGACTCTTCTGAGAACTTCCATATAACCTCTTAACACCTTCGTAACTCGCTTTTATCGAGTTAAATTGTTGGATCAAAGATTCTGCCATTTCTATAATTAAAGTATACCTCGATGTGCTTTTATTTGAGTTAATAGCATCCAAAAAGACTTTTCCAAAATCAACAACATCATGAATACCTTCTTCCCAAGCAGCACATTTCACAAGATCTTCCGAAAGTGAAAGCTCAATATCCATTTGCTTTGAATCATTTTCCATTTTCAGTTCATAGTCTTTGATGGTCTTTTGTGCACTACTAAGAGCTTCCAATATCTTCACAGCAATTGGTAATACGGTACTCCAATTTTTAAAAACAAAGGTATATGGAGAAAGACTATATATCTGCGCAGACTTCTTTGAAAAGAGGTCGTGATTCTTCTTCGCACTTTCTTTTAATGTTTCCAATTTCCCAGTCGCACTTTTTGCCTCCTCAGATATCAAAGTATTTAAATCTGCGTTGTCTCCCAACTTAAGTGACGCACAAATTTTGTTAAAGTTCGCAAAAAGGCTTTTTCGAGAGTTTTGAAGGTCTTTCTCAAACTCACTCTTTTGGTTCTCAATTTTAATCTTCTCGTTCTTCTCCGAATTTTCAAGTGACGCACGCAAACGCAAAAGTTCTCGTGTTGCATTTACAATGTCCTCAACTTTGTCAATTTGGACGATCGGGAAAATGTTGTATTTGTTCAGCTCTTTCACAATTTCTTTGTATTCATCGGCTTTCTCAGTTAATTCCTTCGACTTTTCATCACACATCTTTTTGTATTCGACATCACTGACGGAAAATTCAGAACTAAATTTCACACACATTCGAATCTTTTCAAAGACTTCAGAGAGGAAGTGGATTGTATTTGTCCTCAACTCTTTCGAGTGTTTCTCCGCTTTCACTTGCTCGTCTAAAACTTTCAAATTCTTGTCGATCATTTCATTCACTTTTTGTTCAGAATCTTTCGCCCACAGACTTTGCAAAAATGATAAAACGCGTCTTTTTGTCATGTTATTTCGATCACCTCCATTCGTATCAGATAAAATTGTTGTAATGATATTCATCCGTCGCGTTGTTGCGGAATTTTGACAACTTTCAAAACCAACGTCAACAGACGTTTGTTGTGATTTATTGGAATTCTTATAATCAATCTTCCCATACAAACTCCCCGAAGAAACATCACTCTTAGCCCATTCCGTAAGTGTATCCAATGCTTTTTGGACATTTTTAATTGAAATACATCTCTCACCGTTTTCGGTTGAGTCAAGTAGAGTCTTTTCGGTATTGTCTTTATCATTTTTCTTCTCAATTTTTGGCCTCCCTTCACTAAACTTCTTTTTGATATTTTCAAAATTGAAATTGTCAGTATCGATCTTCCCAAAAGCAGTTAATACACTTAAGGCACCCAATATTTGAGTCTTTGTCGCTTCCACATTTTTGAGCACTTCAAAATTTGATTAACAAAAAGATAAAGCACAGATGTCGCATCAACTCGCATATCACCGTCATCACTGTTACAATACAACACAATTCCTTTCATTAATTTGAACGAAAATCTCAAATTCGTCTTGAACAAATGTTCAATCTTTGTTCTCACAATCTTCCTGATGAACTGGAAGAACCTTTTAATATATTCCTTTGGCGGGTGAGTCACAAACAACTTCTCAATAAATCCACAAATGTGCTTCAACTCGTCTTCATCATTTCTCTCAAAAATCGCATTGAAAAGACAATCCGTTATTTCTAAAATGACAAGCATCACATCGTCATACAACAGATTTTTCATCTTCTGATTTTTCTGCGACGCCTTGTCTTTGTCTTCAATTAAGTTGTCCTTCTCCCTCGTTTTGTTCCTTAAAAACAAATACCCGTCACCCAACCCCGGGTATGGAGCAAACACTGAGCATTCCGTCGGTTTCTTTTCCGTCTTCTCTCCTTTATTAAACAAAAAGTTCACAAATCGGTCGGCATCTCTTTCATCTTTTTGAGTCTTTTCTTTTGTGACCTTCTCAGCCATTCGTGGCATTTTCACGATCCCTTTTTTTCGGGTTTGAACTTTAAATTTGGTGATCGACATTTCTTCCAGTTTTTCTCTGTTCTCGTCGTTGACTCCAAAGACCTCACAAAACGACTTTATTTGAGTATTTCTCGACATTTCTGAGAGGGTCGCTATTTTTGAAGTGATCACTTCATTTGGGTCGGTTGACAGGTGAATGGACGTCTCAAAAACACATTTGGCGTTTGACAACAATCGAATGAAATTGAGTAGTTTGCTGCTCTCTTCAATAGTAAAATACTTTTTGATCAATTGCAAATTGATGGATTTGAGTAGCCAAATGATGATCATGTAAAAAGGTAGACTCCCTTCTTTCTGCTTTTCCCAATTTGTTTCAATATATTCGTAATTCCGCACAATTTCTATTAAAATGGTGAGAAACAGTTGTGCTGCCTCTTCCTTCTTGTTTTCATATCTTTTCTCCTCGTCAATTCGACACAAAAGATTCAAAACGGAATATTTTGCATATGCAGAAACGGGTTCATCCATCTCCAACAACGACAAAATACTTTCAACGACAAAATTGGCAAAGATGTGACGCTCGTTGATTTCAATTTTAAGTGTTTCCACGGTCTTAATGTTGTCACTTTTCATAGAAATTGGAATGTTCATCTCAAAGAAATATTGATAAGAAAAAATGACACGAAGAAAGTCAACTTTGAGTAAATTGGCCGTCTGCCAGCAAGCTGCAAAGTTCTCGCGCTTTGGAAGGTATGTCAAAAAATCAATTGATGGCAATTGAAGTGTTGTCGAGTCTGTTGGAGTGAAAAACGTCTTTGTTTTGACGTCCAACATTTGGGAGAGAACGTTCAAATACAATGAAAAAGAAGCGAGTGCCTGCGACGGGTCATAAAATCTGCACAACTCGACATTGAAAAGTGCATAATCGCTATTTAAAAAGAAGACATGGTACGATTCGGGAGATGTTTCACTAACACGACGACGGACAAGATTCGCGAGGTGTCGAGATACTTTGATCAAATTTGCATTGAAGTCGGAAAAGATTGGATCGGTGAATAATTTGCGAATTCTTTCAATACGGTTTGGAGAATCGTAGATTTTATTTTCTTCCAAATAGAGAACTAAAGATTTTGTAATAATAGAAAAGAAGAACCATCCATATTCTATGGCAACATTGATTAATTTGTGTCGTGTGGTGTCTCTATCATTCAATGTGTTTGTTGCTTGTTGGAGACTTGTCGAGGCTGATAGGCAAATAGTTTCCAACTTCTCAAAATACGTTGACATTGCTGCCATAAGTTTCTGGAAGACAGGTACACTCTCGCGCTTTCCTTCGATTCCTTCATTATTTTCAAATTTTGAAATTTGTCCATTTGTGAAGAAGAATTCAACGAACTGTTGTAACACATGGTTTCGTTGTCTATAATTTGGCGTTTCCGAATTATTGTCTTCCTCTCTCGTCAGCGCATAAATGACTTTTAATATGAACAAAAATGGGAAATCTGCGTCTTCCAAAAATTTGATATTTTCTCTCAAATTGTCTGATTTGGTTGGGGTATCAAATATAGTCGACACTCGTGATGGGTCATTTCTTTCGTCCGTTTCACTTCTCTCATTTGTGCCAGTTCCTCTGATGTTCACAATTTCTTCTTTTTTCTCTCTGAAAAATTCGAGAATGTCTTCCATAATAACCGGCAAGAAATGGGCAATTTCAACGACAGGAACTTCATATAACATTGTCAGTAATGTGTCGATACTTTTCATCTCAGTCTTTTTCGAAAGCTTTTCAAGTAATTCATACAAATATTTGTTCTTTGGATACAACGTACTCTCAAAATTAAATGACACTTTAAAACTCGACTTCTTGTCACCCAAAAAGTCCTCTACTTTGTCTGTGGAAGTCATGTATCCAGTCATCCCCTTCGCAGTGTACACTTTTAATGTATGTTCGCTACTGTCGATCAAATTTCCTCCCTCAAAAACGGGGCGATACGCAAAGTACTTCTTTTCAATACGTTCACCCTTCTCAGATCTTCTCTCTTCTGAATTTGAAGATTTCTCTGTTCTTGCATCATCAAATGAAGAAGTGACATCTTCAATAACAAAAAAGAAGTGGTGTTGTTCCGTCAAATTCACAGGCAATTTCGCTTTAAATTCATCGATGAAATAATCTGCCTTATTTGAACTGTTTGAGACAGAAACAGTTGTTGAGACACTCGGTGAGTATTTTCCTTCATGTGTCTTTGAATAAAAAACACTCAAACAACTCGACGAGTTCATTTCTTTGTCGGAACACCTGAAATAACATGTTATCAAAAATTTTGTCCTTTTTCTGTCTTTTGGTGTCAACGAGACCAAATTCAATTCGTTAGGTGAGATGTAGACGGTGTGACTGAAATCAATGAAAAAGTTTTTATAATTTTCCAGCGCTGGGAAAAATTGCAAAATTTTCACCACTTTTTTGGTTTCCGCTGTCTTCCCAAAATTTTGCAAATAATTTCCTGTTGAGTCCAAAATTGCGAATTCACTCATAACAGACGACGTCGCACTTCCACTGGTTTTCTCTGGTGAGGAATTCTCGAGTTTTCCATCATCCAAAAAGCTCTTTTCAGTGATTTTGATGTTTCGTATCGTTTTCGAAGTTGCAGGAATTTCCAATTTCTGTGGTTTTGCGTCATTTCCAATCTTCGAAATTTCTTCGGAGAGTTTTGAATTTTGTCGCATAAATATTCGCTCCTCTTTTTTAATTATTTTCTTCATAGTAAATCCCCATGTTAAATTCATAATCTTTGCTTTCGTCTCGCTTTTCATGAAAGTGTCCAAGTCCGCCTTCTTGTCGATGTCTTCTCTGTAAATTGGTAACTCCTTTTCTCCAAAATTGTCAGTGGAGTCCATGATACCCCCTTCATCATAAATACCAATCCCAAGAAACTGTCGATAACGGCCAATTTTCTTCGAAAGATCTCTGTCACGGTCACTCGGCGTTTTCTTCTTTTTGTCATCTTTGACATACATATCCCGAGCAGTAAAAATATCGTTCTCGGCACTTTTATACACCATCAACACAAATTTGAGTTTTGAGCCACTGCGCCGAACAATTTCAGTGTCAAAAGATATACAAAAGAACGCGGAATCACTCGGCGAATTCCTTTTTTCAACAGGAAATTCCATGTAATAATTTTCTGTTAATTTCTTCGACGTGTTTGCATCATACACAGCAAAGACACCACTCAACTTCTCTGTCGGCCCTTCTTTCATCTTTAACTGAGGAAGTTCGACGATCCAAATATCACACTGCACTTCATGTAAATTGATCAAATCAATTTGTGAGTTTCCACAGAGAAAATCGTGCTCGTTAAGTGGCAAATAATTTGGATCGTACAATGAGAAGAGACTGTGATATACTTTTCGTGCACTGACCTGTGAATTTGCGTCATTTCGTAATATTTCAATATGAGGAATTTCTTTCTGATTTTCAGATGTTTTAATGTTCGTTGGGAGTGGGTCGGCGTAATCAATAGGATCAATCCTTTCAAATGAAATTTCACGTTTTTGGAGTTGTGTAGTTTCCTCAAAAATCATCTTTAGAATGCTCTTCTGAAGTGGCTGCAATTCTTTAAAATTTATTCCGTTGAGTACATCTCCTATCGTTTGTGAAGAGATGTGTGGTTTTGTTTGGTGAATAATCGATACATCCGGGTGGGCACTTTCTTTTCCAGACACAACAACTTTTTGTGTCAAGTTGATGTAATTTGAAATTGCGTCAAGTTCACTTTGTGTGTAACGTGGCACGTCGTTCGTCTTTTTGTTACTCTTTTAAGTTTTTACTTTGCAATGACTTAAATAACTCTTTTTTATTTAAAATGATTATTATAATTATAATGTTAGCTTTTTTTTCAAGAAAAGTGTAAATTTTCTATTGTAAATAAATATAGTTCTTATTAATAAAGAACTAATAAAAATCGAGTAATATCAAAAAACAAACACTTTTCGATTTTTGATCGGAGGGTTGCTGAAAAATAGAACATAAGGCAAGTTCGTGTCTCACCTCCGGTGTGTTTGATTGTGACGATTTCTTTATGAGTGTCGAGTAATTTTCCTCGACGTATTTAATTAATATTTCCAAATCAGCAACTTTTATTTTGTCTGTTTGCATTAATACGTCCGAGATGATATTTTGGATGTCAACATCTTTTAAATACAAATTCTTTTCTTCTTGTAAAAACCGTCTAATTTGAGGGATCCCAAGTTCATCGAAACCTTCTGTGTTATATTCCTTATTTGTCAATTTCCTTTGATTCACACAACTTTATAGTGTTTGTGTCTAATATATATTGAATAATTTATTTCTGTCTATTTTAAGTTATTAACGACAGTTTCTTAGTAATTCTAAATACTTTTTTATTTTTATTACAATAAAAAATCACAAACATAAAAGAGAGTTGATGGAGGTAATGTAGATTGTGGGCATTGATATACTTTGTTTGTTAAAGATGAAACAATGTCTGTGAATTGTGTTTCTTTTCCATGTGAACGCTGTGAATGTTGAATGTAAACAACATTTTTGTTCGTCATTATCGGACTCAGCGTTTTTGGAACGCTCTTTGGATTCATTTGGAATTTCCAGTTTTATTTTTTATTCGTTTTATTATTCTATTTGTAATCAAGAAAAATAGAATAATAATTGTTTTTTAAAATAATACTATCAATAGTTACTTAATAATATTTTTATTATACTTTTGCAAAAATTCAAGAAAAACAAAAAATTATAAAAATTGTCCAATAATTTTTTTGTGTTAATATTTATTGTTTTTATATTGAGTTGATGGAAAAAAGTCCATCAAAGCCTCAATAAAACAAAGTATTTTTTATTATAAAAAATTATTTACTTTTGATTTCTTTTTTAATTTCTATTAAAAATCATATAACTCCTCTTTTAATTGGATGTCAAATAAATATAAATATATGTGTTTATGTTTATATTATTTATTAAATTGATATTAAATTCAAGTAAACTTTTCTAAGTTGTCAAACAATTCTGACTAAAATGTAAAAATTCAAAAAAATGTTATTATTTTTTTGTTTTTATAATTAACAATTTTTGTTTTGTAAAATTTATTTATCAATTTTTAATGGGATTTTTAAGGTTTTTAATAAAGATTAATTAAACTTTTTATAATTCTACATCACTTAAAAATTTCATTTAAAAAATTTTAAGCACATTCAAAAAAATAGAACATTTGAAAACGATTGATGAATATCTCTAAAAATATACACATCTTATAATAATCAATTTATATATTAAACAATTTATTATTGTTTAAATCTTTAAAATATCAAAATGAAAAAGCTTGAGTTGGTCTTTTTAATGAATGTTTCGTTATATTTCAAAAGCCAAGAAACCATTTTGTGTTTTATCCAAGTTAACAAAAAATGCCTTTTATCTGTCACGTCCCTCCACGTCAATCCATCGTTTTTTGATCAAAAATCACTTGAATGGTTTTTGAGGAAGTTTACTGTAGACACAGTCGACTTGAATTATCTTCCAATCGATGTAATTTATGATAACATCAAGTTGATTCGGAACTTGAATTTAACATCAACACTAATTCAAAAAAAGTTGTTACCACAAATTGAGAGCATCAAAATCGACACCAAAGTAGACTCCAACTATGTCCACATTCTCTGCAATTCTTTTGAAAAAATTCTCTCGTTAACGTGTTCATTGGATTTTTTCAAGGCGTTCGCATCAACTTTTGTTAATGAAAAAATTAACAACAGATTTTTTCCAAAAGTTATTCATTTGATAAACTCAAGACAACCAAACACCACTAATTTGTCGTTTTTGGAAAAGATTGTTACAACCTTTAATTGTAAATGTGTTGTGCACACAGACAGACAACCACTTTTAGCAACAAGTCTGATAAATAACATTTTCTGGCGCGTCAATACAATTTCTTTTGGACATATCACCACCAACACTTTATTATCAAACTTTGAAACGACAGTATTTTTTAATGAAAACGTTTCAAATGAAGATTTGAACAAACTTACAATGTTCGTATATGACTTCTATGTCACAAAACTGACATTAACAAGCATAACAGAGCAAGTAATCGAAATTAGCGAATTACCACCACTTGAAATTTTCGACACCTTGACACTTAATAACATTTCAATTTCAAATAACAACAAATTAAGTGCAAAACGAGTTTGTTTAAATAAATCGAAATTTATTTGTGATAATTCAATTGAAAGTGTCGAAAGTGTTTCGATCAAGAATTCACAATGCTTTTTGAATGATAAAACTCGTTGTCATGACAATGTTAATAACACAGAAATATCATTCCCTTTTGTAAACATTAATAAACTTTCTGTAAATAATATCGAGAGTTTCAAATTGCCTTATCTTAACAATCTCAAAAAGTTGCACATCAAGACGTGTTCAAGATCAAAATTTGTTCTACCCGAAAAGTGCTTTTCTGGTGTTACAATCAAAAATTCCGAACACAATACTTTTGTGTTAAACAACGAAAGTGGTCGAGTGATTTATTTGAAAAATGTTGTTAATAGTGAAGTTTATATTATAAACAAAACAATACAACCTTCATCAGTTATGTTGACTAAATGCAAAAATATTCAATTGATTTGCGAACACATGAAAACTGTCGTTTTTAAAAAATGTGAAACCATCTTGTTTGCACACAAAAAGAATAAAAATGAAAGTGTTACTCAACAAATTAATACAACTCGTTCAATTTACACCAAAATAGAAAATTTAGTCATTTGCAAAACAGGACAACAAATAAGCCTGAGTAACATCGGAGTGACTAAAAATTTATATTTAGTTGACATGGAAAATTGTGAATATAAAGAAAATTTTCTGGATTGTGAAAAAGTTATATTATTCAACAATAAAAAGTGTAACATTGAAATTGGAGAAAATCACATTAAAAATATTATTGTAACATGTTGTGAAAATGTCAATATATGTGGCGCATTTCCAGTTATTGAAAGTATTCAAAATATTAATAATATAAATTGTGAAATTATTCCACACATCAAAGATCAACATTTGTTGTCAAACGTAAAAGATGAAGATGAAGATATCGATATTTCAAAGGAACAAAGTATGATGAAAGATGAACTGTTTAACATTGGTTTGGTATTAAGAAATGCTGTATATCAAAGTTTAATTGCCAACTTTGAAAATGTAAAACAATTAAAATTAATAAATTTCAACGGCTGTTTTATTACACCAATCAATTTACATTTGGAAAAACTCGAGATCGAAAATTGTTCTTTTAATCAAATAAAATACGTTGCAACAAATAATTTATTGGTCAAAAATTGTCACAAAGTGAAGTTGTGTGCACTTGAGAAAATTATTGAAAACATCGAAATTACCAATTCGGACATTTCACTCAAAATTGATTTTAAAAATGATAACTATATCAAAGCTTCTCATATTTTTGTTAATAATTTGAAAATGAAAAATTCAACGTGTTTTTGTCAAAATTTTAAAGTCGAAAACGTGTTTTTGGATTTCACAAATTATAAAGAAAACGACGAAAAGTGTTTTTGTCTCCCAGCAAACAATTTTCAAGTTGTTAATTTAATGAATAATAAATTCACAATTAATAGAATAAATGATATCAATGAGATAAAATTTATTTGTTGTGAAAATAACGAAATAACATTTTCAATGCTCTCAAAAATGTCAATCAAAACTGAGAAATGCAACAACATCAAAATTTTTGTTCCACAGTTTATGAAACTTGAATTAGAAGATGTGTTATCTATAAAAGTCATTCTACTTAATGTTCCACCAGTTGAAAAACAAATTGCTTATTATTCAAAAGAACGCAGACAATGCGAGGATAAAGTAAAATATGCAATCAAAAACATTTCATTGATAAAAAAGATTATTAAAAAACCACATTTATACGACGATTTGGAAATAAAATTTTATATTTCTTTAATCAATGAATTCACGCACGATTATCTTCAAAAAGTGTATGGCGTTGGATTTTTTAAAAATATGACATATTTTGTTGCAAAAGAAAATACATTTTTAGATGAATTAATATCTATTTTTGTTAACATGATAAATCAGTTGCATGTTGATGTTACCAAACAAATTCAGAAAGGAATCATTGATCTTTTGATTGCAATTTTACATGAAACCAAAAATGACGAACTGATGTTTTGTGCTCTTAACAACATTTTGATTAATCCATCGTTTACTAAAAATACCATCTCAGATATTTTACTTAATAAAATCGTTGTTAGTATGTCAAATAAATTTTCTATCGACACGTTTAAAACATCTTATTTTGTCTCTTTGTTGCGAAAAATGTTTGAATTATATCCAAAAACACGCGACGACTTTACTTTTATTATTCCACAATTAAGTGTATTATTTAAGTATAATTATTATTATGAAGAAATAAATGCAAATATTATATATTTTCTGGAATTATTTTCAGAATTCGAAGATAAGTATTCTTTACAAATGCTTCAAAATGATATATCAAAACTATTGGTTCAATATTTAAAGCATGGTGATAGACGTGTTGTTGATATGATTTATTTAATATTCTCCAATTGTGCTGCAGGAAATTTAGCGTGTTGCAAAAAAGTCGTTGAGCTTGGAGTCGTCGATTTTATTCTCGAAAACTATTATAATTACCATTATAGTTCGAACAGAGAGATAATATATGTTATATTAAACGTTTGTAATCATATTGGAAATTCACTGGAAATGGTCGAAATAATTGGAAAAGAAAAGGCAAAAACGATTGTGACATTTTTATATGAAAAGATACAATGTAATGGCCAACTTCAGTTGCCTTCTAAATACATTCAAAACGTTACAAAAAAATTAAATGTGGTATTTCAAGATGACGAAAAAATGATTGATTTTATTAATAAAACAACACAAGAGTTTTTTAAGTACAATCAAACGTCATAGAAGTATTTAGTAACACAATATTGGTGACATTTTCAAATTGATTAAATTACTTTTTGATGTTATTTTACAATTATTAATAAATAAAACCGTTTTTATGTATAAATAAATTTACATTAAATGTTTGTTAATAAATATTCAATTGTTATTCGTGTAATTAAATTGATGTTTGAAGTTTAATTTCTTGTTGTTTTATTTGATTAATTTCAAGAATAGTGCATGTGTAAATAAATACCTTTTTAAGGATAATATTAAACAAACAAAGATATTAAATGTATGAATATTATTTAAAAAATCTACTATTAAAATGAAAACTAAAAATAGGAAGTAAATTATTATTATACTATCATTTTTCCACCCATTCATATTTTTCTTGACTTTTTGTCAGAATATCGCTATCGAAGTCTTCTTCAATTAAAAAATCATTTTCATTTGTACAACATTGAAACATATTCTTTTCAACAAAACAATTTAATTGTTTATCGGCAATAGATTTGGGTTTCTTGTGGATTTGAATAATTTGCTTTTCCGCCATTTTTGCTATTTCCATGAAATAAATTTTAGCGTGTTTTATTGGTTCTTTCCGTTCAAACGCACCAGTGTCTTGGTCATATACATTATAAAAAGTGTTAATGTATTTTATTGTGGTTTCAAAATTAAATGGAATTGAATAGATCTTTTTGATTGGAAAAATAGTACCATAATAATTATAATAAATCTCTCCTTTGTCTTTTTGTAAATCTACTGTGACACCATAACAAAAGATTTTCTTTAACGATGGTATTGCCATTTCTATGTCAGAGTTGTTGAACCACACAGATTTGATTTTCAAATTTGTGTGTAAAATACGTTTTCCTTTTTCATTTGTGCTTTTTCGAAAGTAAAGATTAAGTTTATAATCATTCTGATTTCCAGGTTTGTTGTTGTAATTTTTGGTGAATTTTAGG